AGAGGAAAAAGTGAGAAAGCAAGCCACCAGATCTAGGACTTGAACTGTGGTCAGCCATGTGGGAGTCCAGTACCTTTAACCACCATGTTACCTGTTGATCTCTCTAGTAAATTTTTTTTAAAAGAGAAAAACCATCTTGTATGCCACAAAAATGTAAAATAAGTAAATGTAAACAAAAAAATTCACACACACACACACAGAATGCTTGCAGCCAGCACTCCAGGAAGAACACCCCTGTGCTGGTCTCTAGTTTCATGTTCCTTCAGTCAGAAAATCAGGCCCAAAATACAGTAGCCATTGTCACTTAGTGTTCTTAGCAGTGGCTGCAAAGTATGCACTAACCTTTGTGATTCACATTCTCCCATTTCCCTGAAAAGTCAGGGGGAAACACTTTGGTGGGAGAGTAATTTCAAAGCTTAGTAAATCTGGAAACAAGAGACTTGAATTACTTTTTCATGCAGAGAGCACCCAGTCAGGAGTGACTGAAGAACTAGACACAAAACAGAAACCTGAGTCATTTGTTAAGCTTAAATCTGAAAACCGTGATTCTGATTATGACACATTAAAAAGCTCACATTAGGACAAGGCCGTCACGTGGGTGTTGTCTGTCTTTGAACTGATTCTTTTATCTCTTGTTTGTGCTTGCCGTTCTGCTCTGCCAAATATCAAAGGCTTTGTTTCAACAGGTCTGTAACTTTTGAGAGGCACTTTCCATCACTGTTCTCATCACACACTTTTCTTCATGAAGGGAATTTTGTCCTAGTCCTGCTGTGTGACTCTCATAGAATAATGGCCCCCTAGCGAGGTCCATTCTAACCCAGGACCCATCAATACATTATATGACATGGGGGAGTGCACGTAGCAAATGGATTGAGGTTGCAATGTACTGACCTTAAAACAAGGAGATGGTTCTTGATTATCCAGGTGGGCTGGGAATAATTGTAAAGGTCTTTGCAAATACAAGAGGGAGATAGGAGAATCAAGGTGGGAGGGGGTTGATCTGAGGACTCCATCAGTCATTCCTTGGTTTGCAGATGAAAGGCCCCTGAGCCAGGAGATGTGAGGCAGCCCCTAGAGCTAGAAAAGTTAAGGAAGGAAATTCTTCATTGAGCCACCCTGCTGACACTTCGATTTTAGCCCAGAGAGCCCAATTTCAGACTTCTGACTTCCAGAATGGAAGGTTTTCCAAAAAGAATTATTTAATTTTACTCATTATTATTATTAAAAATTTTGCTATAGGGCTCATGTGCTCATGAGAGAGACAGAAAGAGGGAAAATGAGGAGAAAGAAAGCCTCCAGATGTGGGATTCGGTCTGTGGTCTGCCATGTGGGAGTCCAGTGCCTTAACCACCATGCCACCTGCTGGCCCCAAGAATTGTAAGGTATTAATAATAAATTTGTGCTATTTTTAAGTGTCCAAGTTTTTGGCAATTTTTTATAGCACCAATAGGCAACTAATACAATAGCTGTTTATAAGAGGTAAGGAGAAAAATACCTTAACTAATTTCTATGCTCTCACTTAAAAACACCAGTTTGAGGAGACCAGGCAGTGGTGCAGGGGTAAAACACAATGTCTTCCAAGGAAACCCTGCCTGGGAAGGTTCCAGACTCAAATCCGAGACCTCCCTGTATATTGCAGGCACACACTTACCCATGACAGAGGCTGGCTGAAAGCCGGGAGTAGACCATGGCGTCAGAATCCTGTTTTGAGTGTTGTCTCTTTGCCTCTTTCTGTCATGCTTGCTCATGGAAGAAAATAAATGAATAAACTTAAAAAAGAAAAAGAAAAAGAAAACAGGGCCAGCGGGTGTTATAGAGGCTAAGGCGGGGGCTTCCACATGGCTTAGTGAGCAATTCGAGTTCCAAACCAGGTGGCTTGAAAATCACACTGGGCACATGTGCATATGTGCCCAAAATTCCAAGAGGAGAAAGGAATAGAAAGGATTGCAATGTGGCTATCCTACCAGAGGGTTATTTCTCACTTTCCCTCTCTCTGTCTCACTTTGGCAAGTGCACACACCCTATAGCAAAACAAAACAAAACAAAACACCCTCACCAGTTGGTACTGAGCAACTCCTTCACACCCTGTCACTCCTGGCTGTGGCTGCTGCCTGCCACTCTGCATGTCCCCCTTGGGATGGCTGCTGCAGCCTTCACATTCCAGGTATTGCTCCTCGGGTCAGGGCCACGGCCACCAAGAGGGGTGCTTAGGCCCAGCTGTGGGTAGGAGGGGCACTGCTGTACAAAACTGGAACCACACTAGAAGGCTCTGCATTCATATCCTGAGTCTTCTTGAACATGCCAGATACACCTGTGATCCTGGCTGTCTGCAGGGCTAGGGGGGAGGATCATGGCATGAAGATCTTGATAAAGGTGCCCTCTCTCTCTCTCTCAGTAAACTCCAACAACAAAAGCAAGACACTTAGAAGCAATGAGGGACATTTCTCAAAAGCCAGCTATTACACTATTACTTGCTGTCTTACATAATTTCCAAATGAAATAATTGTGTGTGCCTCTATTATCAAATAATTAAAACATTCTTTTTCTTTCAATTAATTATATAAATTTTTCTCACAATAAGATTTTATTTAAATAAAAAGAAGAGCTTGAGAATATTTTTTATCTGAAAGAGCCTTGTCTCTTTACACAAAGTAAACTACTTTATATTCTGTCACCTGTTAATTATCAAGGGACAGATTATCCCTTGTAGTTCTTTGGAACCAAGAACTTCCCAGCTGCCTCCCTTTTGACCGTCATCCTAGTCATTGTCACTTCTTGATGATCAGGGCAGCAGACATAAAAGACAATTTGAGGGGCCAGCAGGTGGTGTGGTGGTTAAGGGTGCTGGACTAACACATTGTCAACCATGGTTCAAGCCCCAGACCTGGCGGCTTGCTTTCTCACTTTCCCTTTCTCTCTCTCCTCTCTCTCTCTCTCTCACTCTCACTCTCTCTCTCTCTCTCACTCCGTCCCTCTCTAGTCAAAAAATTTATATAAATAAATAAAGTTAAATAAAACAATTCTTTAAAAAAATAAAGACAATTTGATCACTGAATCTCTCTAAACCAAACTAAGCTTTTGTTACAGAATTATTTGAAATTTCCAGTTCATGTAGAGACAGAGATGACTACTCTAGCCAAAAATACAAGCCAGAACTCTGTCATCAGCAAAGGGCAATAATACTTTAAAAATATTAATAGTAAGTTTTCTCTAAATTGAGTTTTTTTTCATTGCAACAGTTACATATGTTTGTTGTTAAAAGCAAACAGAGCCCCTGCCACAGTAGCACAGTGATAGTGCAAGTGCCCTGCAAAGTTGGAAGCCGTATGGTGACGGAGTTGATATCGCCAGCTTGGTCTGAAAACATGCTGGATGCGCGCACAGGTGCCCAGAATCCTGAGGAGCTAGAAGGCTGAGGAAAGGGGATCATGACAAGAGGAGAGCTTCTCTCTCTCTCTATCTCTATCTCTTTCTTACATGCACACATAGTCTCATTTTTTTAAAAAAATGCAAACAATATAGATTATTTACAGTACACTACATAAAACTAATATATATTTTCATTATTTATTTATTCATTTGTCCTTGAAAACTCTTCTGTTTCAATCATGAATAATGTGTTCCCTTTACTGCTCTTTCCTCATGTTTGCTTCAAAGGCTGTAAAGGGGGTCCTAAAGAGCTGTGTATGGCCTTAGGGAAGGAAGTTAACCTCTCCTGATCTGTTGATTTCAGTTTCATAGGCTATTTATTTCTGTTCCTCACGAATACAACCGAAAATAAATACAACCAAAACTCTAACTTTTACCCTCACCTACAGCTAGGACTTCTAATACACTGAAAATGGCCATTGTGGATGTGCTTCAGAGAAAGCTCACATGTGCTAGAGTATTCATGTCAGCACAGTGCCTGCATATTATGTAACCAGAAATTATTTGACTGTATAAAACCTAGCTCTGGGCAAGCTTGTTTCTACATTTAGTATCTGCTGTCTATAACATGAGATAAATACGTAGTAGTTTTATGCAATTGGCCCTGAGGCGATTAAACATAAGTGCTTCGAAGTAATTACCAAAAATTATGAAGGTCACTCAAAGTTGTATTGCATAGCTATCCCAGATGTGCTTTAGAGTAAATTTCTCAACCACCAGAGGCCTGTACGGCTGTTTCTAGCTCATTCTGGCCCAACAGGTATGTTATATCCATATACATATCTTACAAATTCAAATGATTGGAGAGACCCCTCCCCCATCATCTTGTTTGGGGGAAGGAAATGTACAAGCAATTGGTAGCACTGGAGGGGTAGGTCATATAAATTATTAAAAAAAAAAGAGGGGACCAGTCCATGGTCTGGTGGTTAAAGCGGCTGGATCCTATATGGCCGGCTCCGCAGTTAAAGTCTCAGACCTGGCAACTAGAAAGCACTCCAGGCGCACATGTGCATGTGAGCCCAAAAGCCCAAAAGGAAGGAGAGATGGGAGCCAGCAGGTGGCATGGTGGGTAAGGCCCTGGACTCTCATATGGCCAACTGCAGTTCGAGTCCCCAACCTGGTGATTTGCTTTCTCACTTTCTCTCTGTCTTTCTCTGGTGAATGCATGTGTCCTATAGCAAATTCAAAATAATAATAATAAATTAAATTCAAAATTCTTTAAAAAGAAAAAAAGGAGGGAGAGATGAAGGAGAAGGGATTGTGGCATGACCATATCCCATGGAAGATGCTTTCTTACTGAGTGAGTAAAGCAGAAAAGAAACCACAGTAAGCTGATAATCATGAGGCTGGGAGAGTGAAATGTTATTTGGTGAAGAATGTTAAAGTACGTGCCTAGTGAATAGGAAAGGAAGTTCCTTTAAAAGTAGTAAATGTAGAATTGCGAAGCTGAAATAGTGTGCATCTGAAAAGTGAATAAATAAATGCCAAGAGTGAGTGAGTCATAAGCACATGAGTGGTAAGAGGTTGCACTCAAGAGACCAGATCAGGCAATGCTGCTTAATACCATCACATGATCCGCCGGAGGCCTTGTACTTAATTAAAATGAAGAGCCGGGCGTAGCCGAGCCCAGAGAACACTGTTGCTCTTAGAGGGCCAGAGGAGTCCCAGGTCTGACCTGGACTGCCTGGGTCTGTGAGAGTTCAGCATGGAACATCTCTACTGTTTCCTGGGATTTCTGCTTCTGGCTACAAGATTGCCACTTGATGCCGCCAAAAGTGAGTAACTCGGTTTCTGGTTTTGTTTTAAATTTATTTTATTCATGATAGAAAATGTGCGTACTGGAAAAAGAAAGATAAAGAGAGAGAGGAAGAGAAGTGCCTTTTGCAGGGACTTTCAGTGCATGAGTGCCTTTCCCCAGCCCTTTAGCTGGTTGGGATCTCAGGTCCACCTGGGCAAAGAATGTTTTTAAGCTGAGCTGGGTCTTATACTTTCCAGCACCGCAGTTCTGTTGGCCAGGATTGTGCCACCAGGCTGGGCCGGTTTCTTTGTTTAACCCATTTTCTGGCTATTGGTGAAGTGAGGGGTAATATCCTCTGAGCCCGAAGTTAGACTGGAACCTCTCAGGGAGCATTCATGGCCTATTCATTTTTTCTGCAAACTGTTGAGGATGCCGAAACTGTAACAGTCGGCTTCCAGCTCCACTCTTTGCATCAGCTCAAGGAAAATAAAAAACACTCAGCTCTCCAGGAGCTTTTTTTCTGCTGTAGTTGCTACCTAATGTGCCAGACAGGGTTTGTGGAGTGGGGACACAGTCTGGCAGGAGACCACTGGAATTTCGCCTGGCTTCTGTCCAGGAGGGTGAGAAAGTCAGACAAAATGGGGGTCTCAGATCTGGAGACAGGCTCTTTGCAGACCTGCAGGAGCTCATGCTGCTATGGTGAGGTCTCAGAATCGCTGAAGCCTTGGTTCTTTACCTGGTTAAAGGCTGGGCACCTTTAACAATGCTGATGTCCAATCAGTGAAGTCAGAATTTTTGGAAGGGGTTTCAGAGCATCCTTCTTTAAAAAGCTTCTCTTGTGATTGAAGGTACAGACAGGGTTGAACACAGAACTCGAGCCCAACCCACTTGGACCGTCCAGGATGAGTGGGATGGCATCCCCCTCCTCCAGACAGTTAGTGTGCAGTGGGCAAAAGAGGCGAATCCACTCTGCCTCGCTCTGGTAGATGAGAGCCTTTCACGGGGTGTAGCTCAGGGGTGTTTAGGGAGTACATAGGAACTGATCCTGCCAGACAGCTCCATGAAGGTGGAGGGACAGAGCATGCAGGAAAGCCCTGGTCCTCGGATCACACCTAGTAGGCGCCGAGAAGGGACCAGCACCCACCAGGTGCCCACCCTGTGTTAGCCACTCCGGCGGCCCCGCCCACACCCCTCAGGTCCTCCCGCAGTCTCTTTCTGTTCAACAGACGGGGAACCAAGAGGCCGGGTCTTTGCACTGGCTCAGCGCAGTTCTAAGGAAGGGGAGGTCCTGGACCTCCCCGGGCTCCAGTGCGCTCCCTGTTTCACTCCTCTGGCAGGAGAAGAAAGCTGTCTAAGGATGAGGCTGTCTGTCAGAGCTATTGGTAGGACAGGATGTCTAGCTCACGAGAACAAGATGGGGCACCATTGGGAGCCCTGAGCCATGAACGGACGCCAGGCGCCAGGTTTCGTGGGCTAGAGAGGCCGAGGGTGGGCAAAGAGTGAGGGGTTGCTGAGGACCTCCAGGCCTGGGGTCCTGCGGAGGGGAGGGATCCGGCCAGTTGTGTCCTGAGCCCCTGAGGTGGGACAGGAGACCCTGCCCCACCCTGACTCCTGGCCAGGTCGCCCCGGTGTTGTTGACAAGGTGCCAGGGGAACTGGCAACTGTACCCGTGTTTGGCACCGCATCCAGCTGTGCCCAGCGGTCCTTGGAATGCCCTGGGGAGCCTGGTCCTGAGGTTGTCCAGTTTCCCAGATGAGGAAACGAACAGAGAGGGCACAGAACTCGCCCCGGGCCACACAGCCGATAAACAGGAGGAAGCCTTCCATCCCGACCACTGTCCTCTGCCAGAGATCGGAGTCCGACAGACCTGACTTCCCTGCCAGCCCTGGGGCTGGGCCGTGAGTGATCCTGGTTCGCAAAACTGGCTTACCAGGGTTCTTGTGAGGTCGGCTAAGCACAGGTGCGTGGGGGAGCAAGACAGGTACGATCGATCGTCGTTCTCGCCTGACCCGCCTGCTGCCCACCCTCCAGGACAGACTGCCTTCCTGGCACAGATGGCGGAAGCGAACTGACAGGCCACCAGGAGACGGCGGGCCCATTTCTAGCCTCTGTCACCAGTACCACTTTGCTCAGCAGAGCCGAGTAGTAGGGAGGTTGAATCCTCTGTCTGTGAGAGGAGTCCCCAGTGTCTTAGGTAACGTATAATTACAAAACCTGGACATTCCTGGGTTTACCTTGCCCCAAATTAAACATTCTGGCCAAAGTAAGGTCAGGGAGGGGACTTCCAGGTGGCATGGTGGCCCCCTCATGGACTCCCACATGGCAGACTGTGGTTCAAGTCCTGGACCTGGCAGCTCACTCTCTCTCTCTGGTCAAATTAAATAATAATAATAATAATGATAAATAAAGTTAAATAAACTATTTAAAAGTAAGGGCAGGGATGATCTGGTGGTATGTAAGGACTTCTAATCGTAGCTCCTGACAAGAGCAGTGTTGACAAAGTGGTCAAAATACAGAACAGGGGACAGCCGGTGGCTCAGTGGCAAAACTCAAGGCTGATTCAAATGAGAAGGTTCCAGATTCATGTACAGAAGTTTCCCTGAGTACACCAGACACATGTGTGCCCATGATCTGGGTCAGCTGAAGCTGGGGTAGGTCACAGTAATGTAATCCTTTTGTGGGTATTGTCTCTGTCTCACTCTCTCTCTGTCTCTCACTCATGGAAGAAGTAAATAACTAAACTTAAAAAAAAAAGGAATGCATCACAGCAAGATTTGCATGCTCTTTCATAGCCAACCCCATCTCCCTCCCCCAACCCCATTCAGACCTTAGCCACCATTAATCCAGTCTTCATTTTGACAATTTTGTCATTTCCAGTTGCCATGTATCTGGACAACTTTACTGATGCTGTACAGTATGTAAACTCTAGGACTGGGTTTTTTTCACTCAACATAATTCCTTGGATTGCTTTTTTTTAATTAATTAATTAATTAATTAATTTTTTTTTTTTTGAGAGGTTTTTGCCATAGGGCACGTGCACTCCCCAGAAAGACAGAGACAGAGAGATAGAAAGCGAGAAATCCCCCTGGGGGAATGGCCATGCCGTAATCCCTTCTTCTCCATTCTCCTCTCGAGATCTTGGACACACATGCACACGTGCCTGGCGTCAGTTTAAGCCACCAGGTCTGGGACTCGAACCATGGTCGACTACATGGGAGTCCAGTGACATAGCCATTATATCAACTCCTGGTCCCTTCCTTGGAATTTTTTTAAGTTGCATCTATAGTTTGTTCCTTTTTGTTACTGAGTAGTATTCCATGACAAGACTGTCTCTGTTTAACCATTCACCCACTGAAGGACATTTAAGTTATTCTAGTTTAGGCTGTCATAAAGAGAGCTGCTATAAACTGTGATATATGGATTTACAAGTGCATATTAAGTTCCAGTTCTCAGGGATGCATGCCCAAAAGTATAATAGCTGGGTTGGATGTGTGTGTTTAGTTTTATAAGAAATGCTTGAGTAGCTTTGCCAGTTTCCACTGCCCCCAGCAATGTATGAGTGATCCAGTTTCTCTATATCCTTGCCTGTATTTGGTGTTGTCACAGACTTTTTATTTCATAATGCTAGATACGTGGTACTGCTTCATTGTGGTTTCATATGCACTTTTCTTTTTTCTCTTTTTTTTGTAGAGGTTTTTGCTATAGGGCGCGTGCGCTCACCAGACAGACAGAGACAGAGAGATAGAAAGCGAGAAATCACCCCCCAGAGGGAATGGCCATGCTGCAGTCCTTTCTCCTCCGTTCTCCTCTTGGGATATGGAGCGCACACACACACACACGCCTGGCGTGAGTTTAAGCCACCGGGTCCGGGACTTGAACCACGGTCGACTACGTGGGAGTCCAGCGACATAGCCATTACGCTAACTGCTGGTCCCGCATGTGCACTTTTCTACTGGCCAATGATGTGAACATCTTCTCGTGTCCATTTACTATCTATACATTTTCTTTGGTGAAATGTCTTTTCCTGTCTTCTACCTATTTTCTAATCAAATCACTAGTTTTTAAATGTTGCATTTGGAAAATTCTTTATATATTCTGGACTCTAGTCCTTTGTTGGCAATGTGATTTGCAAATCGTTTTTCCCAATCTACATTTGCTTTTTTTCATCCTCTTCACATGACATGTCATAGACCAAAAGTTTTTCATTTTAATAAGGTCCAGTTTATCAATTTTTCTCTTTATGGATTATGTTTTTAGTGTCAAGTCTAAGAACTCTCTCCTACCCCTAGATCCTCAAGATTTCACCTGCTGTTTACTTTATTACAGGACTATTTATTGAAAAGGTCAGCTTTCTTCCACTGGGTTGTTTTATCATCTTTGTCAAAAATCAATACAACACATTACATCAATAAAACAATACATGGGTATATTTCTGAGTTCTCTGTTCCATTCCATTGACCTGTGGTCTATCCCCTGTAACTACATTTCTACTGGGTTGTCAGAAAAGTCATGACGTGTTCTTGCATAGAAAACCATAGAAAAAATATGTCATGGCTTTTCTGACAACCCAGTATTTCCCTCAATTTCTCATATTTAAAATCAGAGAAGGAATCTGTATTTTATTATATTTCTGGAAGCACTAACTTTCTCTCAGGATCTAGGAAGAGGAATATTCTCTGAAACAGTGGAAAGAACTAGTCCTAGGAATAAAAAAATAGGCATTTTCATTTCCACTTGATTAAAGATGATCCTTGTAGTGCCAGCAGGAGGAGAGGTAGTTAAGGTGCTGGCCTCTGTGCTTTGAGTCCTGGATCCGGCAGCTTGAAAACCACTCTGGACACATGTGCATATGTGCCCAAAATCCTGAGGGAAGAATGGAGGAGAAAGGATTGTGGCGTAGTCATCCCCCCTGGGGGATTATTTCTCATTTTCCCTTTCTCTCTCTCTCTCCAATAAACATACACACCCTATGGCAAAAATATTAAAAAAAAAAATGGCCCTTGTGAACCACATCACTTCTCTAGGTCTGAAGTTATT